ATGATTTTAAAGATATCAGCCAACTAAATGGAGGGAAAGGAAATCAGAGATTAGTGCAGCAGGTAGATAAATGGAAATTAAATAATGTATCCCCAGCTAGGAAATTTAACATGTCTTTAAAGAGTTACCAAACACTGTTTTTCCATTTATATTAAGGTGATATCTGCATGCAAACTGAAAAAAATACTTGTGCTGATGGCAAACACATTAAGTAAGTTAGTTTGCTGGGGGAGCAGAGGAAGGGAGGACAGGTTCCTTGGGAAGCCTACCTATGAAAGAAAAGGACTACTGAACCAAGGCCAGGTAAAGGGGAGAATTACATCTTCTCAAATTTGAAACCAAAAAGTTTCCAGTCAACTAGCAGAGTATAAGAGAATGTTCTATAGTTTTTTTTAAATTTTAGACTTTGGGGTAGATTTTTTTATTTTTTTAGATAAATTACTATCAAAGAGATGAAAAAAAGTTTAATACTTTCTTTTTAAATTTTTTTTCAATTACAGTTTACATTCAATATTATTTTGTTTCAATGTCAGGTGTATAGAATAGTCGTTAGACAACCATATGCTTTACAAAGTGGTCTCCCCAATATTCCCAGAACCCATCTGGCACCATACAGTTATTACAATGTTACTGACTATATTCACAATGCCGTACTTTATATCCCCATGAGTATTGTGCAACTGCCAATTTGTATTTCTCAACCCCTTCACCTTTTCCTCCCAGTCCCCCAACCGCCCTCCCCTCTGGCACCCATCAGTCTGTTCTCTGTTTCTATGAGTCTGTCTCTTCTTAATACCTTTTTAAATATCCAGCTGTAGTCCAACTCTCAAAATACCGGAGACAGAAAAGGAGGCAAAGTTAATACTGAGAACTAATACTGTTAGTTATATTTTTTTTTCCTAATTTGAAGAAACTGTCCTTCTCCCTTTATCCCCATGATAGCTTCCTATTGCAAGGTTTGTGGGACTAACCCAATATTCCAATGAACCTGGTCTATTGGAAACAACAAAACAAAACAGAAGTTCTTTAGATTCTACCTTTTATGTAACCACATCTATACAACTAAAATGACAGGGACGCCGAAACCGGTTTGGCTCTGTGGATAGAGCGTCAGCCTGCGGACTGAAGGGTCCCGGGTTCGATTCCGGTGAAGGGCATGTACCTGGGTTGCGGGCACATTCCCGGTGGGAGATGTGCAAGAGGCAGCTGATCGATGTTTCTCTCTCATCCATGTTTCTAACTCTCTATTCCTCTCCCTTCCTCTCTGTAAAAAATCAATAAAATATATTTTAAAAAAATAAATAAATAAAATAAAATGACAGGGACTATGCATAAATAAAGGGACAATTTAGTGGTGGCAGTGTGGTCAATTCCTGAGAACAGAAATCCAAAGTCAAAGTGATTTTGAAAATTGTAGATTTTGCAAATAAATAAAAAATATTCACCATGAACTGAGGGAATATATATGGTGATTGATAATACCACGCTTTATACAATATTTGGTGAGGAAAAAACTGATTTTACAATGCATTCATTCAACAAATACAGAAACGTATTGGCCATGGTTTAGTCTATGGAACCAAGTGCCTGGATTCGAATTCTAGCCTCCTCACTTTCTCATCCTTGGGCAAATTAATTATTAAAGTTTGTCTGTTGCTCAGTCCTTTCATCTGGGAAACGTAAATAATGATAATAATAATAATAACCTTTTAAGTTACTAGAAGGAGCAGGTAAGGCAATATTTATTCAATGTTTAAAAATTGGTAATGTTTTCAAATAGGTGCTGGGTACACATAAATTTCCATATATGGGATTGCTAAATATAGTTGCATCTGATAATTAATGAAAAAATTGAGCATGTAGGCTAGTAAGTACCATTAGCCAGCTACACAGTATTACAATAAATAACTCCAAGAATGCTCAAATCATAAAAGAATGGCACAGTGAGCCTCAAACAACATTTCCTGAATTGCCCAGACTTTTAAGCGGATGCTCTTTTCAGCTGTGGAGTTCCTTTAGCAGTTCAGAGCCATCAAGATGAGTCAGGTTGGAAAATGAGATAATATTACTGGTGCTCAAAGAAAGACTGGGATGTTTCACACTGACCTTTGATCAGAGTAACAGTCCCTACAAAGAACTTGATGATCCCCTGCTCAATATCTTCCTAGAAGACAGAACAAGAGAAAATAAGCAAGCACACTGTGAAGGCTTTTGGCTAGATATCTGGAAACATTTTGGTACCACAAGCATGACTAGGTATTAGAATGGATTACTGAGAGAGGCTTAAGAGCCTGCCCCCTTGGAGGTCTTTCAAACCAGGACAGATAGTCCATCTGATCTGCCTGGGATGCTTTAAAATCAAGGCTGAGTGAAGATTAATGGTACAAACTGCCCCCTGACAGCCTCCTCCCTCCCAAGCACTCTCTGAGAGGGTAACTTTATATATTACCCATCACAGTCCCTCATCTGTTGAGTTGGAAGAACTCCCTTTTATCTTAGCATAGAAAAGGGCAACATTATTTCACAATTGTGAGTTCTTAATAATGTTGTGATGAAACATAATGTCCTCATTACTTTTTTTTTTAAAAACCAGGCAAGCTACCTGCAAATGGCTTTCAATTAGAAACAGATCTCATGAATCTAAATTCTGAACAGCGGTTCCTTTAAATGCATGTTCCCTGGCAAACAAATGGCATATGCCTTTTCTCAAGCAAACCATTAAAAGTCCAAACAAGGCACAGGATGGAAAGGAGTTGGAAGAAAGGATCACCACCGGACGATGAAATGTAAATTTTATGAGGAACTGGGGAGGAGAGGAAGAGTGTGTTCATTTAATAAACGGACATATTTCCTAAGTGATAAATTCAACAGCAATAGGTAGTACCGAGTAAAGTTTGTTTTGAGAAAGAAGTATGTCCTTAGTATATAATTATCTTATAATTCACTTGTTCCACAGTGACCTGTACCTTGATAATTTCAAGTAAATAGTAGTCTTAGTCCTAGAAAGTGAGTTTTAACAAAGTACACTCATTTTAGAAATGCAGAGCTATTAGCAAGCACTGTAATTGTCAAGGGATGGAGGGGAAAAGCGGTGGGGGGGAAAGACTAGTTAAAAATATACTGAAGGATTTATTTAACTCCAGCAAATGTTCTCAGGAAAGTAAATAATGACAGACAGAAATCTTTACACTAAACACCTTCACCTGCACCTTGATATTAAGGAGATTTGCATCACGAACTGTCCTTCAGAATACTGAAGCAGTTTAAAAATACTTCACAGTTTTCCTCTTTGAGATATCTTATCTGAAATCATGTTGGGGAAATGTATGTGTTTAAAAGATACAGTTTGAAAAAAGCCCAGATTAGAGAAAAAGTTCCTAAAAGAAGTCACCCATACTACAAACCTTTTAAAAGTTGAATTCTCTGAGATTTGTGGAGGAAGGGGGGGAAGGGGGTAGCAAAGCTGATCCTTATCAATTAATTAAAAAGAATGAAATAACAGTAGACAAAAGGGAAAGGAGAGTTGAGAAACTTAAGGAGCAGTAGGGGCCGCCGGCCTCTATTCACTGATTAGCAAATTAAGGAGTTCTGGGAAAGGGAGAAGTGACGGGGTAGAAAAGAAGTCTTACAATTCACCACAGGTTCCGCCTTCCACTCACCAGAGGCTGGCGGTGTCTGGTTCAGAATTGGAAAAGGCTCTCTGTATATAACACTCTCCGTGAGCATGAAGTATGGGCTATTTTTTAATGCCTAAATTCATATAAATGTGTTATTTCAGCATAAATAAAAACTCTCACGTGTAGGGTTTGTAGATCAACCCTAATAAAAGAGCAATTCCACTAGATAGCGAAAATGTTATGAGATTCTCTGCAACACGCTTTCCATTGGACAAAACGCAGACAAGCTGGTGGAAATTCGGCGTTTTGACTTGGCCATCTGAGGTCACCGAGGACTTCGGCGGCCGTTTGAGCAGCCCGCGTCCTCCCAGCATCTCCTGGCCCCACTCTGCCGCTCTCAGCTCAGTCCCCTCGCAGCCACCAGATTCTCTCTCCCGGACTCGATTCATTCACAGAGCCCCAGAGAAGCTCGGGTTCGGTTGGAGGTAAGAGCCGGAAAACAGGCATCCAGGCTGCAGCGCAAGTTCGTGGAGACCGAGTGCTACCCGCACGCCGGCGCCCAGAAAGCGGGCGGGGGCTCTCTAGCCCCCGGTGGGATAATGCTCGGGGCCAGGCACGCAGGGGACACTGGATCGGGAGACCCTGAGATGAATCCACTACGGAAGCACCCGCTTAAGTTGGCTCAGCTTCCAAGAGACGGCGAACGAGGCCGCGCTCAGGACCCATCGCCGCGCCGGGTGGCTGGGGTTCCCCTCCAGCCCCAAGTGACCCACAGAAACCGGGGAAGCACTGAGAAACCGTAAGGGCAAAGTCGGCCCAGATCAGAAACAGGCAGCCAGAGAACTCCCCAAACCATCCCGGAACTGCGGGCGTCGGGAGGCCGAGTCCCACTGGTGGGGGTCCCCCAGCTCGCCCGCCCCCGCCCCGGCACCGCGCGCTCAGCCTCTCCGTCCCCGCCGGCGGGAGGGCGGGAGTGGAGAAGGCGCCACTCAGACTGTGGCGCTGGGCAAACTGCGGCCGCAGTTTTTCCAAGTTTTGCCCGAGCGAGAGGCGTGGGGTGGGCATCCCGCTAAGCGATCTGCCCTCGCGCCGCGGCCACCCCCGAGTGTCCCGCGCTCCCCGGCCCGCCGGCGGGAGCCTCCGAGCCAGGGGGCGCCAGGGCGCGAGAGCCGAGGAAGGGAGGGAGGAAGGAGGGCGCTCCCGCGTGTGCACACAATGAGGCGGCGGAGGCGCACACCTAACCCCGCGCGGCGCCCGGAGAGCCTGGCAGAAAGTGAACACCAACAAGTCAGCAACAGGGGGGAGGAGGAGGGCGCCGGGCGGCCCGGGAAACGTGCGGCCGCCGAGGGCTGCAGCCCGCCTGGGCCGCGCGCCCGGGCTTACCTGCGATCTCCTGGTAGGGGATGTCCGCCAGGCTGAATCCCTTGGCACTGTACGCCTGGCGGACCTCGCCGCAGCTCCGAGCCTTCACATCCGCCCCGGCCGGGAGAGACAGCAGCAGCCCGGAGAGGGGAAGAATCACAGCCCCGATCCAAGAAGGCATGGTGCACCATGCAAATCCAGCTCGGTCAACCCCACGGCCCGTGCGCTCTTCACCTTGCCCCTGGAGCCGAAAGCCCGCCAGAGCCAGCGGCGCACTCCTCGCTACTGCCCAGCGTCACCCCCTTCCGCCGGCCGAGGGGACGAGCAGCGCAGCCCTCTGGACCGCGCTCAGCAAACTTTTATAAGCCAGATGGAGATGGCAAGCCAACCGGGGCTGGCTGGGAGAGCAGCCGCCTGGCTCCTCTAGCCCCCCAGGTCGAAAAGGGTGCAATCAAAACGAGAGAGAGAAGGAAATGTTTCCAAATCCACCATGAGGGTTCCGAGCCGCGATCCGAGTTCCGAGCCGCAGAATCCTAGGGCGCTGCGAGCTCGACTCGCCGGAGTGTGCGGCGGAGGTGGGGACGCGCGCCGGCTCTCCCGGGAGGGAGGTGGACGGGCGAGCGCGAGTGTGTGCGCGCGTGTGTGTCGGTGCGAGCGCGGGGTTCTTGGGGATGTGTCTGCGTGGAGGTATGTGTTGGGGATATACGGGTTCCAGAGGAAACCTCAGTTTCACACAGGCTGAGGGAGCCTGTGAGAGAGTCCGCCTGAAATGGGAAGAGAGGGATCCTGGAGGCTAGAGGAAAGGAGAAAGGAGGGGAGAGAGAGAAACGTGCTACTTAGTGCACAGCCGAAATTCAGAGACGGAGTCGAACGGAAAACCCGGACTGGATCTGTTTCTACTTGGTGGGAGAAAAAAAAAGGGGGCGGGGGCAAGGAACGTTCCTGTTTTCTCATTCCCTTCACATCCTTCATACTGATCCGAATGCTACCTTTAATGACATAAGTAATAAAGGTAGAAAAACAGTATTTTAAGTCATTCACTCCTATGTTTTAAACTATATTTTTTGTGGACGTTAAGGGACAGTGTAATTTCAATTGTTGCTCTTAATATCTTCGTGACCTACTGAAACACAAAGCCAGCCTGGGGATAAACATATAGGGAAACCCCTGGATAGCAGAGCACGCTCACTCTCTTTCACTGTTTAAGTTTTGTTTGTCTTGTTCGTTTTTGTTTTCTAAGGGCGGTTTGTGCACACATGAGAGACCAGTGGTTTTTAATTTTTTTAATTTTTTGTTTCTGGGCCCAAAACTTGCCCCCATTTTAATTTTAAATATTTCATGATTTTGGATCAAAAAAATCATTAATGCTCAGAGACATGGAAGCATGGAACAAAGTGTGGAATCTCAGGAGGAAGGCCGGGGAGGGTGGGTGGATGGGAGGTAATCAACCAAAGACCTTGTATGCATAACTCATAGACACAGACAATAGGGTGCTGAAGGCCTGGGGTGAGGGGGGAGGGGGCAGTCAATGGAGGAAAAAGAGGGACATATATAATACTTTCAACAATAAAGAATTATTTTAAAAAATAAAGATCAAAACATCAGGCTCAGGTTTCTAGTGTGGACGAACTGGAAGACAGGAACACAGAAGAAAAGGGAAACACAGGGCAGAGGTCAATGGGGTGGGTACATGAAGGAAGACACTGGGGAAAGGAGTGAAATCTGCCTTCCCTCTCCCCAAATGATCTCACCTGGTAGACTTAACATTTCCTTTCAGGTTAACAGAATTCTCAAGTGGAAAATCAGTTCACTTTCTTCCTGTCTTACACTCAAGTTCTGTGAAATGGGATAAAAGTGAAAAACTCAGGGTTGGTTCATTTCCATTGACTTTCTGTTAATGAACACTGAATTCTGCTGTGCAGAAGTCTGTTAAAACCCAAAGTTCCTGCAGTTACTAAGATAGTTAAATCCAAGACACACACACCACAAAAAAAGATAATGATTACTCACTTGTGTGGCCATATGCATATTAGACCAGCATATTATTTAGAAATTATTATAAATGTAATGTCCAATTGCATGGAGCTTATCTGTAAAACCACGCATGAAGATGGGTTTGTTTGTTTTTTCTGTTGATGACCAGAATGACTCATGAAATTTAAGTCATTCTATTTTTTTTTCAGCATCACAGTCATACTTATCTTCTTCTTGATCATCATCATCATCACACATTAGATACTTTCCTTCTGCGCTTTAATAAATTTCTCCTCTCTTAATCCACCAAAAAATTCTTAAATTTAAGATCCAACCTCATTTAAGCTATGGAAATGCTGTAGAAATGTTGCTGTCCTATTTTGTGCCACGCCAGCACAACCAAGGGTGATCCCGAGTGGTGGGGGGTGGTGGTGAAAGGATTAAGGAAAGACAGACAGGAGAATGATAGCTGAGTCTCAGTGGGATGCTGCCTCCCTGATGTGGAGACAATGACAGCGCCCACAAGCCGTGTCTTTATTTTATAACAGATGCCACAAGGCAAAGTAGGGGCGAGATCACGTTGTTTACAGCATTCTCCTGAGTTTCAACCTCACTTAACTACATGCACCCGAACTCTATCACAAGGCACGTGCGCCACGTGTTTGGACCATAGGTTCAAGCTTACAGCCACAGCCGTTGGCTATAATTGTGCTGAGAAGGCCCTGCCCTCCAGCTGGGACTTGCACGTGGCAATGAGAGGACCCTGTCCTTTCATTAGTCCGAGGCTTGAACCTGGCCAAAACACTGTAACCGCACCCCACACCATTTACAGAGGGACTTTTTCTTCTTCACAAGTCCATAGTTAAACATGTCTTTTGGAAAACAACAGACACATTACATATTTTTTTTCTCTTAAAAATTTATCAGAACTTTTGCCCTCTTTATAACTGTGCTAACTGGTAGACTTTAAGTTCCTGAATTTATTTTCCTCAAAGTCTGAAATCAAGATAACAAAATATACTCTAGTGTCTTTGTGGACAAAGGATAGAATTGGTAGGATTAGGGATTGTGTAGCCAACTCATTATTTTTCTGATATTTGACATGGCCTCCCTCAAATTTCAGTTTCTATCCCAACCAGGTGGTCAGCATTATGCAATCCATCGAAAGAGGGTAAATATGCAGCTAACATCCTATCCTTTCACAGAGACTTTTAATTTACCCTGACCCTAGCAATACATAGCAGATAATCCAATAAAAAGGACATTTGAAGTGGAGGAAGACCAAGTAAGAACAGTGTACATGGTTTAAATTATTTAAAAATCTATCAATCAGTGTGTTTTTAATGAGCATTCAGTGCAAATATATAGCACTAGGTTATTTCCTACATTTATAAAATAACCTTAACATTTGTGGCAAAACTTGTATATGGGGAAAAAATTATAACTTAAAGCATAAATGGATTAGTTTCAGTCCATCAGTAGGGCGGGTGGCGGGGGACACAATTTAGAGTAGGATTCTGAACTCTTAAGTGACCGGCCTCACTGGTGCTCTCAGCCCCTTCTCTGTCCATAGTGGTTAATGCAGCCCTGTTTGAAAAGGTACACAGACCTGTTCCAGCTGAGGGCAGCGGCAGAGCCTAAATGAGGTGCTGGAATGAGCACTGAATAGCATGGACGTCCACAGAAGAGGTGTGATGAGAAGGGAGAGCTCATATTAAGAAAAAGTTGGCATTGGTTTAGATAGAAAGAAAGGACATGACTGACTTTAGCCAGTCAGAGAAAGACAAGTATCACATGACCTCACCCATATGTGGAGTCTAATGAACAAAATGAACTGATGAACAAAATAGAGCCACAGACATAGAAGCTTGGAATAGACTGAAGAATCTCAGAGGGAAGGCGGGGGTGTGGGGTAGGTGGGGAGAGATTAACCAAAGAACTTATATGCGTATATGCATAGCCCATGGACACAGACAATAGTGTGGAGGGACAGAGGGGGTCAATGGGGCAGGAAAGAGGGACATCTATAATACTTTCAACAATAAAAATAATTTTTAAATAAAATTTTTGAAAAAAGAAAGAAAGGACTTGAATCTCAGGAGTAATGTTTATATTGTATGTACTAGGATAAAATTTAGAACATGGAAGAACATCACACCAGAGGAGACAAATAAATAGAAGCAATAGAGAGGCAAATAGGGAAACACATAGAACTCTGCCACAGTGGGAAAGGTTTCAGGTGATTGAGACTTGAATAGGAGGAGAGTGGTTGGAAAGAAGGCGAAGACAAATTTTGAAGAAAGGATTAGGATGTTTTGGTCCTTGGTTCAATACACACAGCAGCACCCCCCCCCCAAAAAAAAAAAAACACCTTATTTTACTTTTTTTTTAATGCAAAATATGGGAGAGCTTTTCTGGGTTTATTTCTCTTTTTTTTTCTTTATTGATTAAGGTATGTGTCCTTACCCCCCCCCCAATTGATCCCTCCCACCTCCCACTCATGCCCTCACCCCCCTGTTGTCTGTGTCCATTGGAACAACACCTTATTTTAAAATTGTAAGTCTCATTGGGAAAATATTTACTAATATTTTCATTAGTATGAGCTCTCCTTTCTAGTCAGATCTCTTCTATGAGCTTCCATGATATTCATTTAGCAGTACCTCATTTAGGCTCTGCTGCTGCCCTCAGCTGGAAAGGAAAACATATACGTTTTCAAACAGTGCTACATTAACTAACAAAGGGGGTGCTGAGAGCACCAGTAAAGCCAGTTACTTAGAGTTCACAATCCCACTCTAATATTTACCTCATTGGGAATATTTGCTAAGACAGTGAAGATTCTTGTTTATACAGAACTTTCACATCACAGCAACCTCTTTGGGCATAAGATGAATGGAATTTCAGAGGCTTTGAGTCAGAGAGAGGAAAATACTGAGGCTTAAGGAGCAACCATAGTTGATAGGTAAGCAGAGCTGTTTCAGTCAGTTGCCTACTCACTGGCCATCAGATCTTTTTCCTGACCACCCTAAGACTGATTGTGTTTTGGGGCATTTGACAACACCAGAGGATGAATCACCATTGATCTAGACCAGTCATGGCAGTAGTCTCACTCCCCATTCCACCACTTTAAATAGTATAGGGGTGGGCATAAGGCCTATTTCTGGCCAATCAGATATAAAAAGAAGATTTCTGAGAAATATATTTTTCCTTATTTAAGGTGACAACTCGAGGAGGAGAAAGGTCTTTGTGCCTCAGCCTCCTGCATTCTTTTATTTTTTTTTCCTCACCTGAGGATGTTTTTTCATTGATTTTAGGGAGAGTGGAAGAAAGAGGGAAAGACAGAGAGAAACACACCAATTGGTTGCCTTGGGCATGAACCCCAACCAGGGTCCAGGCTGGGAAGGAGCCTGCAACTACTGAGCCAAACCAGCTAGGGCAGCCCTCTGCATTCTTATAGCTATTTGGTCATCCTGTAACTGGTTGACAAGAGATTGCTAACAAAGAATGACAGAACATAAGGGTGGAACACAAGAAGATAAATTCATGATTTCCTATTTGAGTCACCAAATCAGCTCTGGGACCACCAACCTCTGGACTTCTTGTTAAATAATCCAAAAATAATCCTTATAATTTATGCCATTGCCAGTTGGTTATTCTGCTGTTTATCAGTGAAAGCAATACAAATGCATAATAGCAAACAAAAGAAAGAACGAGTGAAAGTGAAGGCAAGAGACAGGGATTCATTGCAAATGTAACAGCAAAAACCAGGGAGCATCATAGAATCCAAGTTAGATTTTCAAACATAAAACAAATGCCAGCAGATATCAAGGACAAGAAAGATGGAGAAAATTATATTTATATGAGGACTAGAGGCCCAGTGCACAAAATCTGTGCACTGGCTGGGTGGGAGGGGGTGTCCTTCAGCCTGGCCTGTGCCCTCTTGCAGTCCAGGACCCCTCACTCCTTACCACCCACCTGCTCACTGCTCCTTAGTGCTGCCAAAGGCATTGAGCATCTGCCCCCTGGTGG